TGAGGAAGGGTCACCGGACCCGAAACGTTGACTCTGTTTTCTCCTCCACATATGCTGCCAGACTTGCTGAGCTTTTCCAGCAACTTTGTTTTTCTTCCTGATTTACAGCATCCGCAGTTCTTTTGGTTTTTATATGATTGTGATGTTGTTTCACACCAACACGACTGATTCTGTACTGTTGTCTGTTGTGGCCTAGCAAGCCACTTATTTGAACCAAATTGCTTTCAGTAGTTCAAGAAGGTGGCCCACCGCTTTATTTTCAAGGCAGCAAATGATGGGCAATAAATGTCAGCCTTGGCAGCAATGTCCACATGTGCCCAAATGAAAATAAATCTTCCAAGTCAATATTTGAACAAGGACAACGAGTTCTTCTGGATTCCTGGCCAACATTCATCAACCAACACCTTCACAAACAGACTGACTAGCTATTTAATATGTAAATGCAAGCTCACTCTTTCTGTTTGTCTCATTGTTAATGTCAACTGCAGGAACCCTGCCTGTCTAATTTTTAAAAAAATGGGATTTGTGTTTCACTAAGTTCCTTTAAGGAAAAGACCTTTGCTCTTGCCAGCATTCCTCCTGGTTTTTTAAAAAAATCTAATACTCTTACAAGTGCTGACTGGAGACAACCTGGGAGAAAACATTTTGTACTGTGCAGAATTGTTCCTGAAGACAGGCGGACAATTCTTCATACCTTCCCTGTTTTATAATGTTGCAAGGTAACAAAGCAATGCTTTTATTCTTTATTCAGTCACTGGATGAGGGCATCACTGGCTAGGCAGCATTTGTTGTCCAGAGGGCAGTTAAGAGTCAACTACATTTCTGTGAGTCTGGAGTCACACGTAGGTCAGACCAGGTAAGGATGGCAGTTTCCTTCCCTACAGGACATTAGTGAACCAGATGGGTTTTTCCTGACAATCGGTAATAGATTCATTGTCATCATTAGACTCTTAATTCCAGATATTTATTGAATTCAAATTCCACCATCTGCCGTGGTGGGATTCGAACCCAGGTCCCCAGAACGTTATCTGGATCTCTGGATTAACAGTCCAGCAATAATACCATTAGACCGTCGCCTCTCCGCTTTATGCAGGTTAATAAAAGCAAAGTGCTGAGAAACCCAGCAAGTCTGGCAGCATCTGCGGATAGAGAAACCGAGTGAATGTTTCCAATCCAATAGCACGCAGAAGAGTTGTGTTGAACTCAAAACATTAACTCTGTTCCTGTCTCCACAATGCTGCCAGACTTGCTCACTTTCTCCAGCATTTTGCTTTTATTTCAGATTTCCAGCATCTTATTTCAATTTGTTGTAAAGTTATTTGACCAAACTTTCCCATTAAATATACATTCGCCAAAACTGATCAATTAGTAATGGTCAGCATTTGAATTCCATAGCTGAAACATCATCTTGGGACAAAGGCATAAAGTGGATTATTAAAAGTGACGGGTTGTACCTGTCTCAAACTTGGGAAATGGCCAAGTAGTATTTAATACCACCTCTTCTTCCCTCTGATGTGTCAGTTCCTCACCTTTCCCTAATTACTTCCTTTTTTTTCACTTTGCAGTTCATGTGATTATGGGATATGCTGGCATTCCCTGCAGTAGGTGTGAAGTTGTAGCATTTGTTCTAATAGCGTGAGCCATCTATTGATCAACAGGCTCAAACATTGGTCATTTTCTTTGCCTGCTTTTTTTATATGTAGCATTTGTCTGTAACACACACATTAGCATGGTCCATTCACGTGGAAGCGACTAATGAATTGCTGCCTGACGCATCAGATTGTGGCCCTGATGAGTTTACACACATGAGACAGATTCTGATGCCATTTCAAGTATATGGGAGAGAAAATTTGCCCACCTTATGACAAGGTCACGTGTAAGGTCCAACTCAGCACATTCCAGCAGTTCAGGGTTTGCCTCATGGCACATTAAAGACTCAATTCTAAAATATTGCAGGCAGCAGAAGTGTTTTTATTTCTTACCTTAATTTGATTCCTTTCTGGTGCTTTCCAAATGCTTAATTATCATAGTTTCTTCAAGCTTGCATACTTGAGTTTGTAAAGTAGCTATTATGTTTAAGGCAGCTGGGTTCTTTAAGGATACACTGCTTCATGTGGATCAATGCTGAAAAGGCCCCTGTGTTTTGTTTTTGTTTTTGACTGCTGATGACTCTGTATTCTGTGCATTCCAGGCAGGGGAGTCAGGCTATACTACATTGGGGGTGAGGTCTTTGCTGAATGCCTGAGTGACAGCGCCATCTTTGTCCAGAGTCCGAATTGCAACCAACGCTACGGGTGGCACCCTGCAACTGTTTGCAAGATCCCGCCAGGTAACGCAATAGAATGGCTTTCGTATGGTGCTGTTTGTTAAATGAGAAAGGAAATTTGTATGTATAAGCTGGGGAAAGGAGCACTTTCTATTCATTGTATTTTCCCGTTGTGTATTCATGGCTATTCTCGCTTAGTAATATGTTCTGACAAATTCTTGTAACCCTGATTGAGGATTGCTGATTAAGGCAGTCATGCAATCAGCTGTGGTGCAGTCCCTTGTGCCACAAGAATTGTTGTTCTTTGTAAAATGCCTGTGACTTTCGATCACCTGGAAAGCCTAACCAGGGTCAACCACCCTGAGTAACAAGAGGGAATAATTAATTCGAAAACACAAACTAGCCCTTAACTTGTGATGAAACTGGATTTGCAATATACTGCAAACATTGTGGTTTCTGGTGCGCTCACTAATGGATCTGTCGCAAACTACTGATCAGATGTTAAATTTAAAGGCAGGTGGTTTGACAGTTCATACCATTGAATAACAGATTCCCAGCAGACTGGATTCAGATGGTTTATGAGTAGAATGTTGGTTCTCTAAGTGTAAACTATGGCTGGAATTTAATCAAGGGATTTGTTTGGTGCCTTACTGGAATAACAGTCACCCAGGAGTGAGCTATGGGTTGGCACTTAATCAAGAGGTTCAGAAGGTTTGAATGGGTAAACACAAATACTTGGCAGGGAGTTACACGCTAGAATCAGGGTGGAGGGGATTGGAATTTCGTGGGAGGGAAATGGCAGTTGTTTGGCAAGTGATGTGCATTCTGATCTGCAGTGGGTTTGCTCTCTCTTGACAGGATGCAACCTCAAGATCTTCAATAACCAAGAGTTTGCAGCCTTGCTGGCTCAGTCAGTGAACCAGGGTTTTGAAGCAGTGTACCAGCTGACCAGGATGTGCACAATTCGAATGAGCTTTGTCAAAGGCTGGGGAGCAGAATACAGGTATTGTAAACAATGTCCAATGCGCAGTGCATGTTAGCCATTTCATTACTTAGGGCTTTGGCAGGGAAGGGATTTGGTGCTTCAGGTGCTAATGGTTATGTGATTGGGTTTGCAGTTCAAGCAGGAGTCTTGGTGCTTGTTGGAGAGAGCAGTTGGGGTGTTTACACCCCAGTCCCATTTGGGGGATGGCTGACTACTTGGAGGCTTTCAGAAAAGGTGCAGGTTGAGCCCAAGGCTGCATTTATATTGTACTTATTGAACCCATTATTGTGGTAGGGGTGGCCTTCACAGATTCCATCTTTAACTTCCTTAGTAGTTTTCTGAGGATGCAATATTTTACTGAATGGTTGAATGTGTGCCACCAGCACCTACAGGGCAGGTTTCACACAATGGAAATCCCAGAATAAACCGATGCTTTTGCTGCTACTAGCAGATAGGACGATCCAAGTATTTATTTTAAAAAGTAGCAGTAACATAAAATTATTGTATGTTATGTGCCCAAAACCACTTAATCGACACAACAGTGTGCAGAAAAAGAGCCTAAACAATTGGTAGCCTTGCTTTAAACTACCCAGATCCTAAGCTGTAGAGTTCTCTGTCTAATCCTTTCCATTTCTCTCTCTCCCCCCACCCCCTTTAAAATGTACAAAATTTTAATCACCAGTTCTGATATCTCCTTGAGTTAATGTTAAATTTTGTTTGATAACCGCTCCTGTGAAATGTATTGAAATGTTTTACGACAAAGGTGCCATAAAAGGCAAGTTGTCGCTGAAATAAATAGCCTAGAATATTGACCAAAAGGAACAGATGGACTTGCAGCTGTATGTGCACACATGTGACACCGTCCTGTCAGCGCAGTCCAGTTGGAGGATGTCGACTTCGTCAGCGTTTCTAAAAATTCATTCCAGTCTTTGCAGGAAAGGAGGGAACACTTCTGCTAAATTACACTGTAATTTTGCACAGTAATTCAAGATATATATTTTCTTTTGCACATTCACGTTTAGCAGACAGGAGGAACAGCAACAGCTCTGATTTGCCTCTGATTAGCAACTCCCACCCACCCTCCAAATCACCAGATGTTTAGAGACTTTGCTGGTTCTCCCCACATTCAAATAACAGCCAAACTCTAGAGTGTTGGCTCCTGCCCAGTTAGATAATCACAACCAGATGCTAAATGTGCACAGAAACACACACATTAAGTTAGGACTCAGAAGTTGGGAAGGGTGTTGTCGTGGATATTGTCATGTCATTAATATTTTTTAAAATAGTAGATAAACTCTCCAGTGTATTATATGTAAATTCAGCAGTAACTGTAAGAAAGTTTGCTCCAGTTTTTCTGCTTTGCCCCTCCTTCTCTGTCCCATGTTAAGCCATGTTGTTCTTTCTAAGTGGTGTTTCTTTTAAAGTCCAATTTGAATGTTTTGGTGGAAATCATCTTGATGCAAGACCATGGTTTAAAATCTAATATGAAAGCATTTTCTTTAAAATCAAAATAATGAATTTTCTTAGCAATATTCGCATGGTAGCTCAGTGGTTAGCACTGCTGTCTCACAGCACCAGAGACCTGGGTTCAATTCCAGACTCGAGTGACTGTGTCTGTCTGTGTGGAGTTTGCACCTTCTCCCCAATGTGTGCATGCATTTCCTCCAGGTGTTTTGGTTTCTTCCCACAGTCCAAAGGTGTACAGGTTAGGTGGATTGGCCATGCTAAATTGCCCATAATGTCCAGGGATGTGCAGACTAGGTGGGTTAGTCATGGGAAATGCAAGATTACAGGAACAGGGTAGGGGGTGGGTTTGGGTGGGGTGCTTTTTGGAAGGTCAGAGTGGACTCATGGGCCAAATAGCCTGCTTCCACACTCTAGAGATTTTGTGATTCTATTTTGTTGTCTGTCCCATATCTCAGACCACTTTTCCAGCCTTGCCCTCTGGAACCTCTGTCCTAATTCTCTTTTCAGACTTCCATTTACCTCCCATTTCCTTGATACCTTTGAAATGCTGCTCTCAAAACCCTTGAGCGGAACTTTATCTTCTCCCCACTCTGTTAATTTTTGTCACTCAGTACTTTTGAAGGTGCCTGGAGCTATCTCTTTCTATGTGAGAAACAGTACTGCATTGCATGTTGCTACTAATGCTGCTACCTTAGATGACCTTCTGAGTAAAAACAAAAATTTGATTTGGTTTGGGACCGCTCTGTAAAAGCCAGAAGGCTTCAGATCAGATTTCATGCTGAGTTAACTGATCACGGACATGCATGTTTGGAGGCATTACAGTTGGCCTAGGGCAAGTGAGAGGACAATAGTAAAGCAGGCTCTAACTTCTGAGTCTGGCTGGAACATTTGAGAAGGCCACGACAACATTTGGCCAGTTTGTATTCGGTGTTTTGCCTTGTGCAATGGGCTGACTTTGTTTGTTAAAGAAATGTGTGCATGGCATATGCAGGTAATAGCTCAATAAGAGTCAGAGGAAGTCTGGAAAATAAGATGGTTGCACTATCAAGGAATGGTACCATGTGTGCTGTGTATGTAACAGTGTCATATATAAGGAGCACTGGGTTTCACAGCACTTTTAGCTCGTGTAGTATTGGAAAATTTCCCTTAACTCATTCTTGCAAACAAAAGGAGCCAGAAACAGTGTAATTGAAAGGACTGTGGGCAGATTCAAATACATCTTCAAAACTTGATCAGTTTTGATGTATGGGATACTTTTGGAAGAGCAGTTAAGAAAGTGAAGTTGCATAGGACTGCACAAAGACCCGGTGTCTTGGCTAATATCGATGTCTCTGGCAGTACCGCTTAATATTAACCATCTTATTGCATTTTTTAAAAACAGCATAGCAAAATGGCTTCCCCGTTCATTTGTATAGCCATGTACATGACAACCTGCAAAAGGTAATGCAGCCCCCAGACACAAGATATTCAACAGGAAATGCCTAAACCTAGGGAGTCACACTGAAAGCAGTGTTGCAAGGTTTCTACACTTGTGGTTCTAGATCTTAGAAGGACAACATGACAGACTTTGCCTCTCTGTAGGAATGTTGGTCTCTGACCAGCTCTCATACTGCTCATAGTATCTGTTATTTGCTGCTTGCCATCAGTCCTTTGCTTTGGATATTAAAATCATACCCAGTCAATTTCTCTGATTCCATAGCAAACTGACATTTTGACTTTCTTCATTTTGGCAGATAATATCTAATAACATTCCTCTATATTCATGTTTTTCAACTTGCAATTAATATGGTTTAGCCATCAATAAAGTTTCTATGTTTGTTAGGTAAGTTTAAGATAATTTCCATTTGATTAGTATTGGAAATAAAAAATGTCATTTATATACTGTGCTGCATATAGTTTTGTTCAGAGTTCAGAAGAATGAGAGCTGATCTCATTGAACCTTGCAAAATGATTAACGGGTTAGACAAGGTGAATGCAGAATGGATATTGTAGTTGTTGGAGGAGTCTAGAACCAAGGGCACAGTCTGCAAATGAAATGTAGGCCATTTAGGATTGAGGTGAGGAGAAATTTATCTATTCCAAAGATGGGGCATCACTGTTATTCTCTACCCTAGATGGCTGCGGAGACTTAGTCGTTAAGTATGTTCTCCACTCTATGAGTGAGAATGGGCATAGCGCGAGAAAGTGGTTTGAGATTGATAGCAATCATGATCCAGAATGGCTAAGCACATGAGGAGCTGAATGGCCTGCTGTTATGTTCCTTTTCATGCTTTACAACACGCAAAAACATTTTAAATTTAAAGTACTTGAAGTACGATCACAGTTGTAATGTGGCCACCTGTTTGTCCAGTCCATGTTTCCATATACAACAATGTGATAATGACAATATAATCTGTTTGATTCTGAGATGTAATGAGTTCATACAAACAAGACCTTTTTGTGAGGACTGATGCCTAAGCACCAAAGTTAAGCTTCGTTATTGGTGGGGACAGAACATACTTTTAAAGAATCAGGGGAAGGAGGTCCAGGTTAAAATTCTACCACATGCATATTTATATGACTTGCCTTTTATCTCTGTAGACGTCAGACAGTGACCAGTACCCCCTGCTGGATTGAGCTTCACCTGAATGGACCTCTGCAGTGGCTGGACAAAGTCCTTACCCAAATGGGATCACCAGCCATTCGATGCTCAAGCATGTCGTAAAAGATTGGATTTATCTCAGGGAAGACACCTGCCAAATTTTACCAGTCGAGCTATAGCTTTTAATTTATAGAAATGTAATTCATTATCATCAACAACAACAACAGGCTCCTTCTGCAGTCTTACCGGGTACCATCATTGCCACTTGCCATGATAACTGTAAGCACTTTCTGTGGCAATGTTGTTGGGGAAGTATTTACAAGGGAAAACCGCATAATGATTGAGAAACAAAGGAAGAAAAACATCAATTTTTAATTTGTTTTCTACTGGAGAAAAACTGTGTTTTCACCCTGCTACCAGATGGCAAATTTGTCAGTGGTTGTTTTGTGCCAACTGTAGATCTGACCATTTTGTATTATTTGACTACTTTAATGCCCTGTCTGTAGAACTAGATTGAATAGTACGGTTGCCTAGAGACCAATTGATCTCGCTCTCTCTAGTTTTCGTTCTTTAACATGCTCCTGAAACTTTTGATGGTTACGCCAGGGAAGAAGGCCAGTTCCTGCCTGCGATTGCCATGGTAACTTGAGCCATTTGTTACACTCAGAAGAGAGAAACTATTACAACTGTTCTATTCTGATCAGCCCGTTCTCTCAAAACTCAGTGGTTTTGAGCCCACAATGGGTCTGCAGGCCCCACCGCTATTTGCACCAACTGTTGGGGATTGGGAAAATGGAGCTGCCCTTCTCAGAGCATATTCTCATCATCAATATACTGGAAGCTTGTGATTTTCTTTGTTTCTGTCTGCCAGTTCCCATTCTTTCCTATTATGTTTATGTTTTGTATTATGAAAGTTTGACTTGTACACTTGCCACCTGCTTTTGTTTTCTAGTCGGAGTTGAAACAGATTTTATGCACTTGGTTACAGTTGCCGGTAGTTATTATCTTTGAACAATCCAACCTCTATGCTGATAACTTTTTGTTGGACTCGATGCACCGCCTGGGATGCTTTTGTTTAAAAATGGCGCTATATAAATGCCAGCTATGGAGATGTGTGTGTCGCATCCAATGTTTATTTTCTTAACTCAACTCTAATTGCACCCAATAAAACAAAAATTTGGGCCCAGCCTCAGTGCTGTCTGCAGCATCTGTGTAACATTGAAGGCTAGGAAAAATGTGGCATTGAGGTGTGCCTAAAAAGGCTCGTGCACACCAAAATGGTGTTGACTGATCTCCGTAGTGGTTAGTTCACAATGGTTGACTTTGGATGATTTTCCCCTGGATAGTCTATCAGTGCAGAGAGGAGCGGGGTGAGGCAGGGAGGAACTATGTAGTGGTTGAGTAAGGATGGAGTGTAGTTCCAACAATGAGGTAGCATTGTTACCCACGACTTCGACAAGAAAGTGGAAAACAACAATATGTGGAACTGCATCGTTGAAACAGTCAATTTGTGCACAAGGGGGGGATGAAATAAATGCAGCGATTTACTTTGACTTGGTTTTCTGACTTGGTTTTCTAACTTGGTGCCTCAGTAGTAATTGTTTATAATTTTCGGTTTTTGTTTCTGAAGGGGTCCAATTTAAACTTACAACGCAAGCTACATTACTATCATTTGACGATGAGACTTTGACTGAACTGAAACAATCAGTATCTTCAATTAATATATATTTTAAATGGTAAAGCATACTTTTGGTTTAGCTTGAGTGTGCACATGTTGTTATCCATGCTTTTGTCAGTGCAACCTAGTCTAATGGTGGGACTTCCTGCTCCTGGACTGGAACTTGGAGGTTAGAAATGCAAATCTCTATGTGATACCTACATACAACTGATTCTTCTTCTTTTCTCTACAGTGGGGTATGGGAACTTCGCCTTCATTTTATCTTAATGTTTATACCCTAAACACAATATTAGATCATTCCCCTCCCCTATCCCAACTGTAATCTGTAGACTTCCTGTATCTCACTTGAGCCTTGATTCTTAAACAGTGAATATGAGAATTATTTCTGTGTCACAACATGTTGTATATTCTCTGTGTAAGAATCACTGGATGCCAATCAGGGATAACACTTACATGGCTATCTTTGCTTCTTAGACCACCAAGACTAAACCTGTTGGTGAGAAGCTATTTACATCAGATATAAGGGTAAAACAAATGGATCTGTAGGACAGTTTAATGTAACAGCTTGCTGTTTGTCTTTTTTCTTCATCCAGCTACTTGCTTTGTAATTTTCATCTAACTATGACTCTTTAAAATTTCCCATTGTGTTTAATCTCCTGCTCAGTTTTCATGTCTTCCTCTTTTATAAAGTGTTTGGAACTGTTTTTATGTGAGTATTATTGTGTATATTTGCCTACAAATTTACACCTATGTTTGGGGATTAATTTGGGGTGGGAGGTCAGATTATTTGTAAGCTAGTGCATTGAAGGGGAAACGGGGAGGGGAAGAATATTCACTTTCCAGCTTTTTTGGTCCTGACCCTAATCTCATGTTCACAGCTCCCTATCCACACTGTGTAGGTATGGAATGTTTCTTGTTCCCTCTGTGTCTCTGGTGACTTCAAGGAGTCTTATTTTCAGATCAACTTTTTTTTTTGTTTTTTTTTAAACTGGAAGCTAGGGATGGCTTGTACACAAGAAATAAGATTTACATCACTGTATTAATTCCAGATCAGCAGGCTTTAAGGTTATCCAAGAATATCAAGTAACTGACGGACCTGAGACATTTTTATCGAGAGATTCATTACGTTAGTCAACGTTTGAATTCAAGCCCTGTACTAGTAGATCACAACTTCTTTGGCACAGTTCTGGGTAAATAAAACAGGAACAAAAACAAAGTTGCTGGAAAAGCTCAGTAGGTCTGGCAGCATCTGTGAAGAAAATATCAGAGTTAACGTTTTGGGTCTGGTGACCCTTCCTCAGAACAAACTTGGAACTTCTGAGGAAGGGTCACCAGACCTGAAATGTTAACTGTTTTTATTTCTTCACAGGTGCTGCCAGACCTGCTGAGCTTTTCCAGCAACTTTGTTTTTGGTCCTGATTTACAGCAGCCGTAGCTCTTTCGGTTTTTATCTGGGTAAGTACAGTTTGGAGCTATGTACTTTTGGATGAGAGGTTAAATAGAGGCTATCCTTGTATTCAAAAGTTGTTTGCACCAACATTCCTTACTCAACCATCAACACTAAAAGCAGATTAACTTGTCATTCACCATGCTACATGTGGAATGATGAAAATGCAGTGGCACAGCAAAGAGGGTCTGTAAATACATCATACAGCATTTCAACTCTGAACTTTGGTTGGGACACTCAAATTGGCACCATTGAGAAAACCTGCATAGCACTTGGGTTAGGATCCCAGTTGCATCAGCAGACCAGAGAACCCCAAGCTCCTGTCTTCCTTTCAGAGGAATTGCAGTTAGCATTGTGGATCCATCTCTCAGATGAGCCTGAGTGTGCAGCCAGCAGTCAGTGTATGGGGGGTGCATTGCACTAACTCTCCCAGTCATTTTTCTTGACATCTCTGTAGGAAAACCAGCTGGCTTCAGTTCTATACCTCCCTTTAAACCTTCTCTATGCCTGTCACAGACATTTCCATGTGTTTTTTTTTTGAGCAGCTGCTAACACTTATTCTTTGTGGAGGAAAATTCCAGGCCTGATTAACTGAGGTTTAAACAGAAGATTGTAATAACTGACCTTTTAGTATACACATTTTAAAAAATAAAGAAGAAACCTTTTAATTCCACTCCTTAGCGGCACTCATGCTTTTATTTGGAAAAAAAATTACATGCAAGAAAGATTAAAAACAGTCTGCTCAGGATTTCCTAGGATTATTATCATAGTAGCTGCTGTCTAAAAGCTGTAGCACTGGGGTATTGAATCCTTCTGAAAACCCCACTAGAAACTAGCATATTGAATTAACATGTTCCACAGAGCCACTCTGTCACTGATTTTCTGTTCCATCAATAAATTAAGAATCTCCAAAATGATTTCCTAATTTAGTACCACAATTGCAAAGTACATTAATTACTCACATGAGACAGCATCTGTGAAGAGAAAGAGTCAACTCTTGAAAAGTTTTCAAATTGAAACCATCACTCCCTTTCTCTCTACATAGATACTGGTGTCGCTTAGCTCAGTTGGCTAGATGGTTTGCAATTCAGAGTGATACCAACAGCACGTTTTCAATTCTTGTACCATACCATGAAGGTCCTCCCTTTTTAATCTCGCTCCTCCCCTGAGGCATGACCACCTTCAAATTAAACCACTGCTAGTCATCTCTAACAAGAAAGCAGCCCTATGGTCCCTGGGACTACGGTGACTTTACTGTTTTACATTGATAATGCCTAAGTTATTTCCAGCATTCTTGGTTTCTAGAAAATTAGGTATGTGCAACAGACTGTACTAGAAGGCCATAGCTCCAGGCATAAAGACTTCTTAAGATTTAGACACCCATCATTATACCTACTACAGCACAGACTCCATGACTTGTGGTTATGGTTACAAGTAGGCAGTGCAATGCCTGTGTTGGGATCTGCTACTTCTTTCTACTAAGAAGTCTTTGCATTACACTGCCATTGGATTTGTGCTTTAAACAATGGAAAATGCAGGATTGTAACTGTACACATAGGGAAGTCCAAGATCAGAGAATTGGGGAAACACCAATATATGAATGAAAACTACAAACGACAGTGTAGGTTTAATTTAGATTCCTGGCATTGATGTTACTAGAGAGAAAACTATAGTGAAGTCATATTGCAGTTTTTATTGTCAATCACCTTTCAAGTATGAGTTGAGAGAGAAAGAGGAAAAACATGCCTACAACAGAATTAGACCAGGTTACAAATATAAAAAGTATATGTGGAATGTTGAAATCTTAATGTCCATACATCTTTTGATGTTTATTAGCAAAAGGTGAGCACTCAAACAAGCACCTTTATACTGTGCAGATTCAGGGTGTAGACTACAGGTCATGTCCCTGTCTGGCTGGAGAACTGAACAATCCCAAATGACTCAGTGCTGAATAAGCTACCTGATACCTCCTGGGGACATGTCATCCAGTGTAATCTGTGTGGGGCAAGAATTACGTATGCTGCTTCCCTCCCTCAAGCAACCTATACACGAGGAACAAAAAGCGTAGTCCATGGCTCTTCAAACTTGGTCACAGTAATTCTGGGAAAATGATCTCCGTCAAGCTCCATAGAGATGATCTTGACTACATATGTAATTTTTGTTGTTTTAATTAGAACAGAAGCTCCTGGAATAGTAATTTGGTAGTACAGAACTTGAGTATTGTTGACATTTGTCTATCACATAAGCCAAAAAGCGTTCTGTCTGTTTCACAAATAAATAACACGGTATATGAATTTCAGTGCTAGTGTGATGCTAGGTATATTGGCCGTATGTCCAAAAGCTGTTTGGAACAAGATAGATATTGACTTTACCCAGTCAATCTGTGCTTCCAGAACATTAGATGTGATGCTGTGATTGGCCAACATTTACCAACTAATTATATGAGAATAGTTACTTTAAAACCAATTTAGGATTTCAATTGGGCCCACATTGTCATGCATGTACACCTACTGGAAGCCAAATATTAATACATGGGACCCTGTTCTTTATAGACAAAAAAAAGACATACATACACTGCATCTGTTTCAACTCAACAAAATAGGTGACAGGTAGTTTCTGGTTAATTTCTCAGGGCAATGCCTTTGAGTCAACCTGCCCAATTTTAAATTTAAAGATTGGTCATTAACTGTCAGTCATCATCAAATTGGTGCGTTTCCATGGTACCACCTCAATTACAGTCCACTTACCAACCACTCAGCAGTGTCCTCATACAGTATTTTTTTCCCATTTACGTTGGTATTCTTGCAAAACAAAAAGCTTTGTTTTTTAATACTAAAAGGGCATTTTTTTTGCAAGATGGATTAAAGCACTATTGAACAGATTCTCATTGTTGAGGTTTAAACAGAAATTAACTTCAATGGGTCTACTTTGGGACTTTCTTTATCCTAGCATGCTTTGTGGTGCAGTGCATCATGGCATAAGGCACCATCCACACAGCATCTGTGATGCTTACAACAATGGAACAGTGATAATCCATGGAATTTAAAAAAAAGTCCCATGCTATGTGTATTTTTCTATTTAATGAAACATAATGTGATTCATGTGAGTATATTTTTTACAAAGTTGGCAGTTGAACACGTATGTCCACCTTCATTGCTTTGTCTACTATACCACAGATGCAATTTAGATTCCTTGTGACCCACATCAGCATTTTCTCAAGTTCTGTAGAGGTAACTTGTGAATCTCTCCAAGTAGCATTAAGCTATTTAGTTCCAGCAGATAATGCGGCATTACTTTCACACTTTACAAAAAAAGGTGCTTTCTTGTACATTGTTTCTGTTTTCTACTTTAGTGTTCAGAAATGGCCAAAAATCCTTTTCCATTTATGTAAATGTTTCAATGTTATTAAAATTCATTTTATCATATTAACCAACAGCAAGTGGAGTAATATTTATTATATCAGCTGTTCAAGGAAACCTCTGCTTTATGGCGAGCAACTACCTGTTTCTCATACTTAAAAATTAATCTTTGTACACAGTAAGCCAAAGTTCCACGGGTGTCAACAACAATGAATATCTTACACGAGCAACTAGTCTTCATGTGTAAGCTTAAATAGTGAACGCTGGACCCCTTCATAAGTGGAGGGTGAACTTTCAAAGCCAAACTTAATTGTACCTTATTCCAGTACTTAAACCAGGGCAGGGTGGGACCATCAGACTATGATCAGGAGTGGCCACATTATATTTCTCATGCTGCACCATAAACAAATGAGAGCAAGTGCACACAACTCAGCTAACGAACCAGAATCAAATTTGGAAAATTAGTTGTCTATACATACATGTGGAGGTTTTTTGAGCTGCTCATCAAAATTCTACGCAGTCTGTATTGCACTCAGGAAAAATTACACGTTGTATTTAACATGCACAGGAACACCAAAGTTACCAAATGCACCCTTACATCATGACCAGTTATATGTATGAACACCACAATGGTAGACCACTCTTTTGTTTCACTATCACAGCACTGTAACTCAATTTTTTGTTCAACAAAGGAATTAAGCCCATTTATACAGAATTTTATAAAAAAAAAATCAAAAGAACCGCAGAATAATGATAGCATAAATCATCAGCTGATTGATCAGTGCTGTAACAGGGTTAGGAGGGTAGCTGATTTAAAAAAAAAGTACACTGGTTAGCTGGAGTCCAATATAAAAGGTCAAATAGCTAAGTGCTTGGAATAAGCATCACAGGATCTGTTAGTGTCAGCATGGATTTATGAAAGGTAAACCATGCTTGACAAATCTACTGGAACTTTGAGGATGTAACTAGTAGAGTTGATGATGGGGAGTTAGTGGATATGATTTACTTAGACTTTGAGAAGGCTTTTGGTAAGAGTCCTACCTTAGAGATTAGCAAATATAGAATTTGGGGTAGAATACGGACATGGATGGAGAACAGATTAGCAGACAAGGAACAATAAAGTAGGAATAAACTGATCTTTTTCCAAGTGGCAGCTAGTATCAATGGGGTACTATGTGGATCAGCTATTCACAATATATATATTAACAATTTAAGTGTGGGAACTAAAAGTAATATGCCCGAGTTCACAGATGACAGAAAACAGGGTGGGAGGGTGAACTGTGAAGATGATGCAAGATGATTTGGTGTCATTTAGACAAGTTGATTAAGTGGCCAAATGCATGGCAGATGAAGTGTACAGTAGATAAATGAGGTTATCCACTTTGCTAGCAAAAGCAGATTAACTGAACAGTAATAGATTGGGAAAAGAGGTGTAATGAGACCCCAGTGACCCTGTACACCAGTTGTTGAAAGTAAACATGCAGATGCAGCAGCGAGTATATTGTCCTTCACGACCAGAGGAATCCACTGCAGGAGCAGGGATGTCTCGCTGCAAGTGTACAGGTTTCTTGGTGAAACCACAGCTGCAGTAATGTGCAGTTTTGGCACCCTTGTCTGAGGAAGGACATTCTGGTTATGTGGGGAATGCAGCAAAGGTTGACCAGACTGAATTCTAGGATGACAGAACCAATATATGAAAAGAGACTGGATCGATTAGGACTATATTCACTGGAGTTTAGAAGAATGATTGAAGAGGATCTTACTAATGAAAAATAACCTATAAAATTTTAACAAGTTTAGATAGGGTAAACACAGTAACAACATTCCCAAGCATAAAGTGTAGGCTATTTTGGACTAAGATGAGGAGAGGTTTCCTCACAGAGTATTGAGCCTGTGGAATTCTCTGCCACAGAAAGTGGTTAAGGCCAAAGCATTGAATGTTTCAAGTAATTAGATATAGTTGTTAGGACTAAAGGAATCAAAGGGTATGGAGAGAAAGTGGGAACATAATACTGATTGAATGATCAGCTACGACTATTTTGAATGGTGGAGATGGCTTGAAGGGCCAAATGGCCTCCTCCTGCTTATATTTTTGATATTTCTATGAACAAAGATATTTTTCTAAAAAGAAAAAAAAAGTGACACTGGAGCAATAAGTCTATTCTTTTTGGGAGATCAACTTCTCAACTACCAGTGGGTTCAAAGGAATCCCTCAGTCCCACCTCAATCTGAAAACAAATCCAGATATTTAAAGTCCTCAGTGCTAAGTATTGCACCAAAATATTACACAGCACAACGTTATGTGAACAAAAGACTGACACTTATATAGAGCTCCATCAGAATTTGAAACATTTAAGTACTTCAGCCGATGAATTTGTTCACTAATATAGATAAAATAGAAACCATAATGCACATAGCACAATTGGCAACAAGGAGATAAAAGTAAACTTCAGATTTGCTGGTGATGAGAGGGGAACATTGGGAAGAAACTACAAGACACTGTTTTAATGAGAGGTCTCCCATTTAAATAGAAGAGATGTTTCTTTCTTGAGGGTCATTAGTCTATAGAATTCTCTTTCCCAGAGCAGGGGAGGCTAGATTTGTGGATATATTTAAGGCTGAGTGAGATTTTTTGATTGACAAGTAGAAGTGGACAGGAAAGTGGAGTGAGGCACTGAGATCGAATGGTAGAGCAAGCTTGAGGGGCCAGCTGTCCTACCCTGTTCCTAATTTCTGTGTTGTTACAAGAACTCCTCTTCTAAAAAAAAATGAAATAACTCTTAATTCTAAAGATGTCTTCCACCTTCCAGGTCTGTAACCAAATAACCATTAATTTGTTAGCTAGACAACTGTGAAACTACAATTGCATCTTTAACATAGAAAAGAAACCTCAAAATATCGGTGTTTTAAAAAAAAAAGGCAGAGCAGGAAAATTGAGTTTACTTAACATAGGTAAATCTCATGGAAGGTCTTAAAAGGAAGAGCTATTGGAAAAGTGCAGGATTTAGGAGGGGGACATTGTAGAGATGCAAGGCCACAACAAATGATAAAAACCAAAAGAACTGCGGATGCTGTAAATCAGGAACAAAAACAAAGTTGCTGGAAAAACTCAGCAGGTCTGGCAGCATTAGGGTTCTGAGGAAGGGTCACTGGACCTGAAACGTTAATTCTGTTTTTCCTTCACAGATGCTGCCAGACTTGCTGAGCTTTTCCAGCAACTTTGGTTTTGTTCCAAAACAAATGATAGCTGAGCTACTACTAGTGGGACAAAGAAAGGGGTAATGGTGTTGAAATAACAAACCTGGGAATTGTCCTCATAGGGATGCATCCCTTTGCAGGGTTGGATAGGGAGGCCATGGAGAGCAGTAACCACAAAGGTGAGAGATTTAAACTTTACCCAATGCACTAGGAGTCAATGCAGGCCAACAAGAGAATGGACAAATGGGAAAGGAGGTGACTGACAGAAAGCACAGCTAAGCTGATCCAGTCCACAGGATGTCAATAATAGGAGCAGTAAATATTGAACATTGACCAGCATCAAGAACCCTGGCTGATTCTTTTTCTTCCTTATCTAGGGTATAATCTTTCATACAAAAAAAAAACTCAACACAGGAAGCACAAGCAAGGACATAGAGAATTTATTTCATTTCTACACAATAACAATTAGTCATTTTTAAAATCAGGCTTTTTGTGAAATTCTAATAGAATTTTAATTTTGTATGCCATTCTAGATTTCACATTTTGCTTGGAGGCAAGGGCTATTAGAACTGCAAAAATGGAACATTTTCCCATTTTGGTACCTCACACTCTACAAAGTCAGATTAAAGACGAGTTTAGCTCCTAACCACATACCGGAGTACAAACCTCAAGTTAATCTCATTGTACCAATACAATATTTTTCTCATTTCCCATCTCAACGTGTTGCTTTTGAGTCAATTTGGCACCACGTTCACAGCAGTTTTTGTGCTGTGAATATACGCCGCTTTAGGAATTCGATCAGACAGCCGAAATGGTTTTCACACAGTAGTTCTGTGGGCAGAGACAGAGACTGAGACACTCAGTCACATCATCTGTCTGCAGTGAGTAGATTTGAAAGTAGCTTCCATAGGGGTGAGAGGTTTACAATGGTGTACCACCACTTTCCTCAATTGCATTGCCATTTTCCAGCAGTTAACTCCAAAAGGAATAGATAAACAATACACAGATAACAATAAACAGACCAATTTCCAGAAAAATGAGAAGCTTCATAGAGGAGATTTGAGTGTCTCACACCATTGAAATGTGAATATTGATATGGTTGGCAGCAGTGCAATTTTCCTGTTTGCATTTCAACCTTCTTGCAATGAAAAACTAAAAATACCTTACTGTGTGCTTATTGTTGTAGGATTCAGTGTACACTTATTTTTGACATGTAGCAAACAAAGATTTTAAGGACAGCTTCTCTGACATATACAAGGAATAATGACATTTATTTCAGTTATTTTTCCTGTACAGGTGGGTTAACTTTATATTAGATGATTTATTTTATTACAATCTTTTTATATGTTTCTCAATACAAGGTTGCACATTTCAAGCCATTTTAAGTCATAGTTACTAACTATGGCAGGCCTGACATATGAAGAGAGACTGGATTGACGAGGACTATATTCACTGAAGTTAAGATTGAGGGAGGGGAATCACAAAAAAAACCTATAAAATTTTACAGGACTAGCGAAAGGTAAATGCAGGAATGATGTTCCCGATGACAGGGGAATCCAGAACTAGGGATTACTGTCTGAGGACAAGGGGGTGGTAGGACATTTAGGACTGAGACGATACAAACAAACCAGTTAATCAGAGCTTTTGTGCTGAATTTGTAACATATTTACAGACAAGTCACACTGCATTCTTTGTGTTTGAAATTGGTCTGGCACTGGTTAGTCCAATAACACTTTACTAATGTAACCAATCCATAAATGAAACAAGTGCACGAGTGGCAAAGCTACTGTATTACAGAATTCTCTCTGCATAATAAAAATAGACCAAGGACTTGGAATGAGACCGAGTGCATTAGGAATGGGAAGGCTCAAAATATACCAAAACCAGAATCAGTTCATTCACAAGGCCAGGGTCTGAGAAGGTGGTGTAGCCCAGGAGTGGGCAGCGACACTGCTTCCTCCCACAGGACTTCTTAGCTCAAATGTTTAGTCTAATACATAAGTACAGTGTAGATAGGAGAAAACACAGATACAGATCCAAATCTTAACATTCAGTTGATTCAAAACATCGACTTGCATGAAAAACCTTGACCCGGCAACCCAGGGAATGAATTGCTCAGCAAGACCCCCAAGCAAAACACTGGCTTATACACAAAATAAAACCTTTCATCTGAAAAATCTGAAAATAATCAGGTTCTTAGTCACAGTCTTCATCAGATGGCTCCTCAATCTCTTCTCTGTCTCCACCAATAGCCATCCAAAAAGCTTTAGCAACCTGTCAGATGAAACAGGGCAAGGTGTGTGAATATTAAACACACCCCTGCTGCAACATTAAACTACTGCTCATCTCCACTGTAAACAGGATGATCATGAAACAACTTTATAAAGGGGGCAGCATAAAAATGAGCTATCATAAGAAAATAAGGCATAAAATTACCCAATATATTTTGAAATAAATCTATTTTAGAGCTTATTCATTAAAGGTAATTTAGAGTTAGTGCATATCAATGATTTCTTCAACCAGTTTGGCCAAGCCTTTTGCTTGTCTACAGCAACTAAGCTTCAATAAAAATCTAACTTGTCAACTTGAAGAAGCTGGATCAGCACAATAACATTACTATTTTTAAATAAATACACGTGAGGCTTATCCTGAACATGGATACTGGACTTACTGAGCAGTGTGAAAGCAGGAAGACACACAACTAATGGAATGAAAAATTAGGTTCTCTCCATGGACAAACAGGAAAACATAAATGCTAAAAATCTGAAATATTTTCTCAAGAAGTGTGTTCTGGATAATAATTCAATTTCCAATGTTTCCTGCAAGTACTTTGACACCTTCAGCTTTTTACCAGTAGAAAATTATCACAAGCTAGTTAAGTTTAAGGAAGGCTACTTAGCCCATTTTAATTCATCCGCCCTGAAGGATCTTTTACATTGCCCATTAACTGTTCCTTATACATCTAGAGTATGCATCTCCGTGACTCTCTGGAAACCCAAGTAAGGATTTTCTGTTTAGTCCTGAATTTGTCCTTCACTCTTTCAACCTGCATTCCTTCACTCAGATCCTGCAAATTTCTCTCCTTTATGATAATATTTTGGATTTACCTCTTCGGTTCTTGGCACAACCTATATCCCAAGTTTCTCCAATATTTATTCATAACGCAAGATCTTTGACGTGAAGAATGAGCCTCAGACCTTTCCACTGCACTGCTTTCAGCACATTATTGTCTCCTCTATGGCTCTGTTAATGTTCAACGTATGACTGACCAGAGAATTGTAGAATTTGATCATCACTCTCTGTTATTTCTGAATTGATGACTGAGGAAGTAACAAGGACAAAATCTGCCCTGCATGTAGAACAAATTTCCATCTTTTTATCATCAGCTGCAAAAGGAGTTGTACATAATGGGAAAACAGGCAGAAGATTAGATTTTAAGCCACAACCGCATTGGTCACCATCTTTATTGAATGGCAGAACAAGATTGGACGGCGGGGGGGGGGGAGAAAAACAGTCTACTTCTGCTCCCATTTCTTATGTTCTTGTTCTAGTTCTTGGCATTATAGCCAAATAGCTGCTTCCCTCACTGAATGAACTATTGTAAAAATGATTAATGCTTATTGAAGAGTGCTTGTGAACAGTTTTGGTTTCTCCATTAAAAATATAAAAGTGATGGAAAAAAAGTGTTGGGTTCACATTCGACTAGGATGTTCTCAGAGATGAGGGTTAAAACTAAAGCCTTCAGGAATTGGAGCTTTTCTCTACAGAGTCAAGATGACTTTGGGATAATCTGATAGTTATTGAAGAAAAGGCCTTGATCCAGTAACTTGGATTAAATAATTTTCAATGGTAACGAGAGGGTACAAGATTAAGATTAATCACAAAGGTTCAAGGACAAAATAGGGAAGAATTTTCTGCCACAAACTGTTGTTGACAGAGTTAATAAATTATTTTTAAAATGGTGGGAGGTAGCTGCTAGCAAAGAAAACATTAAAAGGAAATGGGGAATGAACAGGAGTGGGATTAGATTTCGTAGCGCAGGAGGAGAAATTGCAAAACAGCAGTGCAAAAGGTCAGTTTGATAACAGTCTCGCCCAACAAAATACCTGCATTAGATTAAGTCCTGTGTACAGCGTACATTTCCAGCAACAGCCGTTTTACTTCATCACATGTTAGTGGCAACATTTCAGATCACAAACACTGGTGTACCTCCCAACTTAGTCCATGAGCAATGCCACAGGTGATTTGCCATGTGTGCAAACACTTGGGCTTTTGTTTAAAGTTTGCAGGTCCTTACCTTTTCTGCATGTAGTTTTCTTTGTTCATGAGGTAATGTTGCTGCTTTGTCTGTTAATGTAAAACAAAGTGTTACTCACGTACGAGTTGGAAGGATTCCTAGACAATTAGTCAAGTGTCAGCAATGTACAATTTAGCTACAAATCTTTCTTCCTCCTCTCTACCCTTCCTTCTTGTAAAGGCAGAGAACCATCTCTATGACTTAGCAACCAGAGGGAGAAAATATGATTTCAACTGATGTAGATACAGCAGATCATTCATAAAAGCAGTACTGCCTGTGCTTATTAACGCACTCAGCTGACTCAGAGTTACAGAAATGTACAGCACGGAAACAGACCTTTTGGTCCAACTTGTCCATACCAACCAGATACCCTAAATAAATCTAGTCCCATTTGCCAACATTTGGCCCTTATCCCTCGAGACCCTTCCTATTCATATACCCATCCAGATGCCTTTTAAATGTTGTAAGTGTACCAGCCTCCACCACTTCCTCTGACAGCTCATTCCATACACACACCACCCTCTGCGTGAAAAAGCTGCCCCTTAGGTTCCTTTTAAATCTTTCCCCTCTCATCTTAAACCTATGCCCTGTAGTTTTAGACTCCCCCCACCGTGAGGAAAAGACCTTGTCTATTTACCCTATTCATGCCCCTCATGATATTGTAAACCTCTAAATGTCACCCCTCAGCCTCTAATGCTCCAGGGAAAATAGCCCCAGTCTATTCAGCCACTCCCTATAGCTCAAACCCTCCAACCCTGGCAACATTCTTGTAAATCTTTTCTGGACCCTTTTGAGTTTCACAATATCCTTCCTTTAGCAGGGAGACCAGAACTGCACACAATACTCCAGAAGTGGCCTAACCAATGTCCTGTACAGTCGCAACATGACCTCCCAACTCCTATACTCAAAGCACCGACCAATAAAGGCAAGCATACCAAATGTCTTCTTCACTATCTTAAAACATACTGATCACAATATATAAATTAGAAATTTCAGCCCATTCCAAGTAGCACATCTTTAAATGTATATTTTGTCACACAAACATTCCAAAGAAAAGAATTGGAGCAATTCGACTAAGTAAAGAGAAGACTTTTGCAGTAGCTAATTTAAGATTCTGTGCAAGTAGGATTAATTTCCACCACCTTTGTGAAAATTGTTTTCCAAGTGTAAAACTAACCTTTCATTTCTTTCAGCTTCTCAAATAGACGCTCAAAATTTTCACAGTCAACCTCACCTGTGGTAAGGGTGGCGAGTTCTTGGATATCCAAATGTAACATAGGATCTGCTGGGTAAACAAACCAACAGATCATGAGCCAAAGGTTGGTTTAAAAAAAAAAAGCAATACTTCTGGAAAAAAAGAAATTGTGTTTCCATACCCATGAAACTATCTGGCTGAAGAGCTGCCACGCCATCTCTATCTTCTGCAAGGGATTCAGCATCAAGTTCTGCAAGGTTGTGGTACTGTATTAAGTAGAATGGTTAAAGTATACATCAATAAATGTTAAACATAAACAGAAAGTGCTGGAGAAAAACTCAGCGGGTTTAGTAGTATCTGTGGAAAGAAAAAAATTTAAAGTTTCAAGTCCAGTGACCCATCTGAAAAACTGTTCTGCAGAAGAGTGACAGGACTTGAAATGTTCACTCTCCAGCAATTTTTGTTTTAGTTTCAGATTTCTAGCATTTACAGTCCTTTGTATTCAAGAATATTAAGTTTACTGTGGGTAAGCTGTGAGATAGCAAGAACTGCAGATGCTGGAGAGAGATAACACAGTATGGATCTGGAGAAGCACAGCAGGCCAGGCAGCATCAGAGAAGCAGGAAAGTTGACGTTTCAGGTCGGGACCTTTCTTCAGAAATGGGGAGGGAGAAGGAAGCTCAGAAATAAATAGAGAGAAGGGGTGGGGCTGGGGAAGGTAGGTGGGATGGTGATAGGCGAGTGCAGGTAGGGAGTGGTGGGGATTGGTCAGTGGGAAGGGTAGGGCGGATAGGTGGAGAAGAAGATGGATAGGATGTATTAGGTCAAGGAGGCAGGGATGAGAGGGAGGGTTAAACATGGGATGAGGCCAGGGATGGGGAGATTTTAAAACTGGTGAAATCCATGTTTAGGCCATCGGGCTGTAGTCTCCCAAGGTGGAATATGAGGTGCTGCTCCTCCAGTTTCCGGGTGGCATCATTGTGACACTGGAGGAGGCCCAGGATGGACATGTCATCCAGGGAGTGGGAGTGGGAGTTGAAGTGGTTTGCGACTGGCAGGTGTTGTTGTTTGTTGTGTACAGAGTACAGATGCTCTACAAAACAAACAGTCTCCGAGTCTACGCTTTCCTGAAGTAGAGGCGGCCACATCGGGAGCAGTGAATGCAGTAGACCAAGTTGACGGATGTGCAGGTGAACTCCTGTCTAATGTGGAAGGTTTGTTTTGTGCCTTGAATGGAGGTAGGGAGTGGGGTGTCGGGGCAGGTGTAGCACTTCCTGCGGTTGTGTTACTGTATTGTGTAGCATCCTTTTTATCTGGGCATCAACAATCTAACACAGACTCCAGACCAACAGCAATATGGTTAACTGTTAATGACCTCAGCAAGTCACTCTAATCAAGGAGCAGTTAGGGTTGGCCAATAAATGCTGGCCCAGCCAATGACGCCCACATGCCTTAAATGAACAAAAAAATTGGTGCAGGCCAGAGTTTAATGTTCCACATATGCAAACTTCATCTAATCAGCGTATTTTGACTATTCATTTCCCTTTACTAAGCTTATCACATAAAACACATCAATACAATTTGCCTTAGCCACACAATGTAACAGCAAACTCCACGTCTAACCACTCTTTGGTTAGAAAGCTTTCTCGTGAATTCTTTATTAATTTAGTGATTATTTTATATTTATGCCCCTTGATCCCAGATGACATTCAATCTTGCAAAATACTGTGCAGTGAACATTGTTCGGTACCTCAATTGAATTTAGACAGAAAGCTTTTGCGGACCATTGAACATTAAGAACATCACAGGTGCACCAATCTGTTTTCCAGCCAAAGTCAGCACACCAGTGCTGTCCAGCAGTTAATTACTGGATCTCATTTAGAAGCGGAAATTTTAACCGATTGTTCTCTTCTATAATCCATATGTTCAGAGGTCAATCTATAGCGGTCCAACAGAGGTCAGCTAACTCAACACTGATTGGAAATGGAACTTGGAATCTCATCATTTGGTAGTATAATGGGTAGTATAATTATCTATAGAACTTTTGCAAGCTTTTTTACTAATTAGAACAATTCTATTTTTTAATCTCACAACGGCCTCAGCTTATTGAGCCACGTAACATGAATAAGTGGAAGGCTTTTGCCTCTCAAAGCAATAGTAAAAGTATGACTTTATTGTATTAAGTAGAACAGCAAAACCTGAAGCTTCAGTATCCTTTCTTAGAAACAGCAAAGTGCTGGGTAGATCCATGATCTATGATCTTTTGAGGAAGGTGACATATTGTGGGTACTGTTTTTCCTATATTCCTTTTCAAGGAAGCCAGTGGAAAAGCCAATATTTTTCATTCTTCTTTTCTTAAGGATATGAAACATTAACTAGTTACTGTAAGTCAATGTCTGTGTAGCTTAGGGCTGTGGAGCCCTAATAAATCATGTAGCCCACCAGTCAATTGTCTCCAATACATCTAAAATGGAACAACGGCCAACTTCCCTTCATATACAATTACTATAAAGATTATAAAGGGAGTGATTACAAGGTTATCATTTCATCTTTAAGCTCTGAAACACTTAGGACAATGACTGAAAACATTTGATAGGAAAACAGCTTGAAATCACAACCAGACATCAATACTTAATTAGTGCATCACTTACTTCCACCTGCGTTTCAGCTTCTGTTTGACAATTCTCAAGCACACCAGTTAAACTACTAAGTATTCCAAAATCTTGAGGCCTATCTAAAGAAAAGAAACTGCGTGTTAAAAGTTTTGTATTAGTTTAAAGACTCATCACCAAATGTGTACTCCATATATGCAACAAATTCCTTTTAAAATTGTGCCAGTCAATGATTCTGTAGTTTGGAGATATGGGCCTCCAATAATCACATTTCAGAATTAGGCATTTTTGTTCTGCCAAACAATCAGGACATTCCAGTCAGCTTTCCTGAGGTTAGGTTTCACAGCATGAGCATTAAGCGTTGCTCAAACTCACCGTTTGTACTGACTGCCATTATTTCAAACTCATGCAGGGACTATGTCCCAACAAGTGGCTGATTAAATCAAACAATAGGTTTCTTTGGCTCCTCCTAATAGGCAGAGATAGGTCGCACTCAACCAGAAAACATTTGTAAAACCCAAAACTAAATGTCCAATGTTAGATGTAATTCCATGATTTGGCAAGCATAGCTGAACAGTCTCGAGTATGCTAATAACCATCCTAGATTGGCTGTTATTGTATCAGTTGAGCTTGTAATGTGGCTCATTTATGCTTGCTAGAAGTTATACAGATTAAAATGCAAGGAACTGTTCCCTGCGAAAAAAAGGAATATCTTCAAGCTTTATGCCCTTTTAAAATTATCCAGCTCGTTATGAAGCTCATAAATTCCAGTTGCTTTCTCCATTGTAACACAAAGCCAGAGCTGACTTGCTAATCAATGAGGACTCCTTTCCTTCTGTCGTATAAATTATTTTGATTGTTTTAAATTTGGCATTCTTGCAGGTGTCTTGATGAGGGCAAGGTGAAAAGCTTTAGCACATATCTATATTTTCAGCAACATTAAAAGTTCTGTAATACCAAGCAACTGTTGAAATATTATTCAATTTGTCCAAGTAGTTACGTTAGGGTAACATGGATTCTTATTTCTCCAAAACAGAGATTTGTTTAAATAGGTGAATTAGGTGTTGCAGTTATTTAGACCCCTTTGATCCTGATTAGGATGGAGGCCCTAATTACTAGCTAGCTTGTAAAATAAATTAAAATTTTGGGCAGTCTCAACGTAGAGCTTAAAATTTATTATCTCAAGAGATCCAAAGGATGGATGGTGTAGAAAATGGAAAGGAGAAAATCAATGTAGTAACGATGCTAGTCTGATATCGGCAAAGATTTGATTTGATTTGATTTATTATTGTCACATGTACCTAAATACAGTGAAAAGTTTCGTTTTGCGAGCAGTACAGGAAGATCATACCATACAAGGACATACAGATCATAGGGTGCTTGAACAGAGCAAGGCACACAAAGTTACGGCTGCACAGAAGTTGTACGAAAAACAAGATCAACATTAGATTTGAAATTTGAGGTCCATTCAGCAGTCAAATAACAGCAGAGAAGAACCTGTTCTTTAACCAGCTGGTACATTGTGTTTAAGCTTTTGTATCTTCTGCCTGATGGAAGGGTTGGAACAGATTACAACTGGTGTGGGAAGGGTCTTTAATGATGTTGGCTGCCCTTCCGCAGCAATGAGAAGTGTAGATGGAGTCAGTGGATGAGAGGTTGGCTGAGTACTGTGCTGGATCTGATGAGTTTAATGTGGACTGAAGAATGTCATTTGGCAACAATAATATGAACTGCTTACACAAACAAAGTTGTTCCATACCTGTTTTCATCTCAACATTTGACCATACATTTGCATTCAAAGCTTGGATAATTCTCGTTACTCCAGTAGATTCAGGAAAGTCATCTGTGTGGACACCAATAGATACTACTGTTACAGAATATGGGAATGCAGAGGTAAAATATAGGTCAATTAAAAACATCCATTAGAAGACAAGCTTTAAAAAAGACTGATGGAGAAATTTTAATGCCACAAAATCGAGTCACACAGTAGAGACCTCAGGTTTGACACAATTTTAATGAATGGCTGACGTGAAATGTTCATTTAATGACAGATTATTTAAATTTCTTCATTGTGCTGCCTTTTAAAAAAATCTAGTTAAGGGCAGAAAGTAGGGAGGGGGTGGGATAGGGAGTAAATGATAGGATAGAGCCTAAAGAAAGAGAACAGTTGGACAGACAAAGGAGTTGAGAACAATCTGGCAGGGAGGGTGAATGGCGACTATTAGTGACTAACAACAAGGTGGTGTGTGATGGCAGGCTATTTGATAACATAGAACTGTTGGTGGCTGAGGAAGGGTCACCAGACCTGAAACATTAACTCTGATTTTTTCTTCACAGATGCTGCCAGACCCACTGAGCTTTTCCAGCAACTTTGTTTTTGTTCCTGATTTACAGCATCCACAGTTCTTTCGGTTTTTAAAAAAAACTAGTTGAGTTAACTTTTCTCCTCTCGTCAGCCCCCAACTTGAATAGACATCCCAGGCGAGAAGGCTAGTTGCTGTCTGGTCTTTATAATAGCACTACTCTAACAAACTTATAATGCACCAAAGTTAGATAATGGTCTTACAGTTGAAAAAACATTTTCAACTCTTCAACAATAGGGAAGAGCCTAACACCTAATAAGTACTTGGTAAGGAATGTACCTCAGAACAATGGCACCAACTCATCCACCAATTCTGTCTCCTTGTATACATTTGAGAACCTTCTCCAAGAGGCAGCAGACCCATTTCACCTGCAACAGTGGGGGTTATCACTTCTAGCTTAAAACAATCTATTTAGCTGCATTAAATTACTTTATCTTAAGAAAGGCTTCAATCAAGATGCCAGACTAGCAAAAAGACAGAGAGGGGCCACCCAGAGTTCCTGGCCACTAATCAATGGCCTTTGAAGGAAAGCACATGCCAATTCCAAAGATGGAAACAAGGTCATTTTTGATGCTCTTGCGTAATTGTTTGAATGGAGATTAAGAGTATACAGCTGTGGGGCACTCAGCCAATAAGTGCTTACCTATACAATACCACCGCAGGAATATTATATTCTACCACTGGAGGCATTTCGGTTAACATTGTACAAAGCCAGAAAGCTCAGTTGGAAGAGTGTTAGACTAAAGGTGCAAAGGTCCTGGCTCAAGATAGGGTTCAGCAGCTCTCAAAGTACATGAAACTTATAAATAGACATGAAACTTACAATAGAATAAAAAAAGACACTTATTACACTGGTTTGTAGAGTTAAGAGCTACTACTAATTTGTAATGTCTCACTTTGTCAATAAATCTGCACTTTGTAAAGATTGACTTCTGGTCTACTCCTTCACCAACTGGTTGTAACAAGTTTTGTATCAGTTGTCAGAAAAGCCAGCAACACTGTTCAGCTTCATGGCAGTGTGGCCAAATGGCAAGGTTCTGGAGTGCTAGTGACAGATATGTGTTGCTGTCCCAAAAAAGGTCAGCATTTTCATGAGGGAGGGAATAAGGAAATTGTAGTAAAACAGAAGGAATACCTAATCCAGGGTTATTTTTTTAAAAGACAGAGCTCTCAACCTTGCTAAATGCAATAATTTATAATGGGAATGTTGTATTTTCACTTTAAAGAACAGTTTCTCCAGTTCACGCCAAAATACTAGAATACTCTAAGAATTGTTTTGAAATGCAAAACCAACCTTCTTCATCTGGCAAATCTTCTGGATTGAGCTCCACCAATTCAAACCCATATTTAATACACCATTGCTGTGCTGTTTGCCTGCTCACCCCTGGAAGAGAAAGGGTAATCAGATAGCTTAACCAACGCGACTAAGCAGAATCCACTCACAATTTAAAACTTTGACATTTTAAAGTGTAATTTTTCTTCATATTTTCTGGCAGATGTACACTTGAAGGCAACAGATTGAGGCACTGCAGCTTCCACTGTTATGATTCATTTGGATAATTTGTGTCAATTCTTAGTTCAACAACTGGATGGAGCATCATGGAGAATTTGCTCAAGGTGGAGCAAGCTAGAAATACAAACATTCTGTCCTTCCAGGCTTAAATCAAACCTGCTTAAAATCAAATAGTTTCCATTCCCAGTTAGATCGACTGATTATAGGCTATTACAACAAAACTATATAACATTAAAAAGGTCCCCGTCTGGTACAATCCAAAAACTAAAGAATTCTCAATGTGGTCTAACTTGTCATTTAAGAGTCAAACACTGACTTGTACTGAACCTAATACTTTCCTGGCTAGACACTTATCCTTTACTCTCCACACACTTTAGGGCATTCAAAGTTATACTGTCTGTTTCTTACAATGCACCAAGTCCAGTTCATCAACCATTCTTGTTTGCACTGAATTATATGGGCTTCGAATTTAAAACTTTCTTCCTAGTGTACATATCCCCTCATGGCTTTGCCCTTCCCTCGGTCATTACTGGTGTTTCTGGGATTGTGTTTTGCAACTTCCCTGCAATTCCGAGAACATCAAAGATCTGCGACCTTGCCTACAATGTACAAGGAAGTGTAATTTGAATAATCAGGACTACTGATCAGTTTTAGGATGACTGAACAGCTCTAGCATATTTACCAGACACGAGAGATCAAATACAGAGATTTGTTTTTGCATGAACATTAAACACTGTGTGCTTAAGCGTTGGGGGCAAGGCTCAAGTTCCAACCTGTCCAACCAAAGGCAAGGATGCCACTAACAGAGCCAAGATCACAACAATAAAATTAATTCCTATTTTAAAAAGTATAGGAATAGGCATTGGACAAAGCAGATGATCGACGGACCTTCAAAACAACTGAAGACTACTGGATGAGCAGAAGAACTTTCTTACATCGCCAACAAAAGGTAAAAGGTAAAGGCACCATAGTCTTACCAGACCACAGGGCTGTCTCACTGGAGACAGCCAACTGGTGCTGGTTTAACTTGAGGGTCACCACAACTCAGGTGAGGGAAATGGTTGAGAAGGAGAGCCCTTCCTGGTAACATCAGAGTGCAGGAATTGAACCCATGCTGTTGGTATTACTCTGTATAGTAAATCAGCCATTCAGCCAACTGAGCTAACCAATCCTCTACATTTCTCTACATGACTGATTGTTGGGTTTTCTTCTCTCACAGTTAAGTGAGTTAACATTTTTCCAACAGCTCTATCACCTGCGCTTCCCAAAGCCACCTGTGACAGTCCAGGATTTTGGTGAATTGCCAGTATTGAACAAGACAGGCATGGCATAAGCAAGATGTAAGACTGTCATCCTTTTTCCAATACAACTTAGATATATTTCCCTTTTGAAAAACCTAAAGTGCACGGTCAGGTCTGGGGTCAGTGAGTATAGTTAATCACATAGAATGGAACCGTGGTGGACAACATGCAAAATCCACTGCCAAGCTCTCCTTCAGACTATCATTTTGAAAAAAAAGTGTTACACTCAGGCTTGGCCCCTCCAATAGTGACTGTATTTAAATTACAACTAATGCATTTGGGCTTATGTGTGTATTAATGCTAATTGCAACAAAAACAGAAATTGCTGGTGAAACGCAGCAGGTCTGGCAGCATCTGTGGGGGGAAATGTTTTGCATCTGGTGACCTGCTGAGTTTTGCCAGCAATTTCTATCTTAATGTTAGTGCTGTATGCAGCTAGTTGGAAGAATTGTACTTTCATGTACATTAAGACAAAGTCTGGATGTGCCCTGATAGAAGGAGACACTTGACCTTCAAACAAATAATATGCTTCTTGCCTTCCCTGTCAGCCGTGATAAATGAGCAGACCAAGCCCAGGAAATTCAGAAGTAAAAAATTACAAACCTGAAAATCTGAAATAAAAACTAAACATGCTGGAAATATTAAAAGGATTGTGACCTGGACTATTAACTCCATTTCTCTCCCCGTGGATGCTGCCAGACTAGCTAAATATTTCCAGCATTTTGTGTTTTCATTCTAGACAATTCAAACCCATTGGTGTTTAATTTTCTTAGTCACTTGTGTTTGATTGTTGTTTAAATCTTTATAGCTCTGAAGGCTTTAAATGGCTATTTTTAGTGTCCTAAGTCAGTACACCTACCAACTATACAATTTATGAGCCATACACAAAAAATGGGAATACTCATTTAAATTTTAGGAGGTTTCCAAAATTTAGTGGTACAAACTTAAAAGACAAAGAAGCTTGAACATTCTTGATCTATGGTGTCAACCCTACATAACCTATGTTTTGTTGAGCTGGGTACAAAGTAATTTACAGTCCCCTTTGCAAATTTCACTGAAGCCAAGTCCAAATCCTGGTTGGAAAGAAAGAAGAAACAAATGAACAAATTTCACTGTTCAGTTCTATTATTGAGTTGGAAAAAGTCACAAGGCTTCATTTCTCAATTTTCCCTTTTCACATTTGTGTACATCGATTCATGATGCCAAACATTCCTGGAGTTCAATATGGGTACCAGTAATTTTCCAAACCTCCCTCAAGTAGGTCAATCCTTACATCAGTCTAGGCAGTGATTGTTTACAGGATACTTGACCGTCGAAGGCACCAGTCAAGCTTAAACCTAATTCCACTTGGAGGCCAAGCACACGTGCCTTGCAGGAAGTGTAAGCGGATACCCATTCGGGTCAATGGTCTTCTTCTGCTAAGGACACAGATGAGATCAGCAAACCCAGCAGAGAATGGAGATTAACCTTGTTTTCTCCTAGTCTTTACAGCTTTGCACAAAAGAATCCAATGCATTTTACCTATTAAGCCACCTGAATTCAGCACCATTAAACTTTTCACTGAGCTCAATAATGGCATTTTACACAACCTAACTTTAGAAACAAGCCTCATTTCTCAATTGACTAGCCAGTAATGACGGAAATTAAATTCATCCAAAACCCCCAAATTTATACTCATTTAACAACAGAATACAATACCATTGTCTGAAACTCTGTCACACACCAGAATCAAAACCTCAGGGGTCCACTCTTGAGTCAAAGGAAGCCAAGTGGATACCTCATCAAGTCCCGTTTTCTGAGGAAAAAAGTAGAACTCAATGCTAAAAACATTAAAAAGGTCAAAGCTGTATACTAAGAAAATATTAACCAAGTTTCCAAATTGGCACAGGTAACAAATCTAAGCCTCACCTCAGACGCACACCTAAAATGGGTGAGCTCATTAGTACTCCAAAAACAGGATAACAAAAGGGAAATGCTCTTGCTAGAAAAAAAGACTCATTCAGATATAGTAGGAACTGCAGATGCTGGAGAATCCGAGACAACAAGGTGCAGAGCTGGATAAACACAGCAGGCCAAGCAGCATCATAGGAGCAGGAAGGCTGACGTTTCGGGCCTAGACCCTTTCTGATGACCCTTTCTCATTCAGATAAATGCCCAAAGCAGCTTTAAAACTGCAGCATTCTCTAGCAAAATAACTGGAAGTTTTACTTCATTACTTGTGCAGAAATTGCAAACTGCTGTGAATACGTATGTGTAATTTGTCAGATTATTTATTACTTAAATTTTCAAGTGATAGTAATTAATGCACAATGCTTCTCGACAATTACAAACTTTTTCTGAAATTTTTCACATTAAATATGTTTTGCTCATTTGCATTCATCAATATGCTTGTTCACATTTCCCTTCCCCTAACCATGCAGCATGGTGTTCAGGAATTTCTGATCTTGAAATAGAAGTGTCAACAGTGCACACCAAACTGGGCACATGAGCAAACAGCAGCAGAAAGTCAAGAAAAATAAATGAAATTGAAGAATGATCAGTTTCATTGGTGAAAAAGGGCGTTGTTTTCTAGGAATTTCAGAAATGATGCGGTTATGCGCTCTGACTTGAAGTTAGTTAAATTAATCCCACTCAAGTTCCCTGTGTGGGGTATAGCATTGTGATTAAGCTTCTTATAATCAGCACTTATCTAAGTATTTTAGTTTAGAAATTCACAGAACATGGAGCAGTCATGTCATGAATGCTATAGTTAGACTTATGAAGTTCCAAAAGGCTGGGTGTTTTAAAGGAGGATAGCTGGGATTAGTCCTCCACTTAACAGTATTCCCTGTTCTTGTGCTGTACTGCTCTATGTTCTAGATCTGTTTTCCACACATTACCCTCCCTTGTCACAAATTACATTAGCAATCAAAATAACTGAAAAAGAATCAATGTGAATCTTGTACAAAGTTGAAATTTCATGAAATTAAAAATTCAGAGTTTGAATCTGTTTACAGAAGGAAACTATTTAAATTGGTTGAAGTATGCAAATATAGATTAGCAGGAATATAATCGTGCCATTTGGTGTGAAAATGGACGTGCCCTTCATTGTGAATGATTGAAGGCCAATTGTTTTTATTGAAATGCTTGTGGGGAGAAGCAATTATCCCCACCTGCCATCATCAAACTGACACAACTAGCGTGGATATAGGGATAGTTGGAATAATTGTTCGGAGACAGAACAGAGATCGAGAGGAAAGAAAATATAGGCTGGAGCCCAGAGATAAGAATTGCCAATGCTGGAGTCAGAGATAACACAGTGTGGAGCTGGAGGAACACAGCAAGCAAGGAAGCATCAGAGAAGCAGGAAAGCTGACGTTTCGGATCGGCACCCTTCTTCAGAAATGGGGGAGATGGAAGGGAGCTCTGAAATACATAGAGAGAGGAGAGGTGGGGCTGGGGAAGCTAGGTGTGATGGTGATAGCTTAGTGCAGGTAGGCAGTGGGGGGGATTGGTCAGTGAGATGGGAGGAGCAGATAGTTGGGAGAGAAGACGGACAGATCAAGAAGGTGGGGATGAGAGGGAGGATTGGTCATGGGATGAGGCCGGGGGTGGGGAGATTTTGAAACTAGTAAAGTCCACATTGAGACCATTGGGTTGTGGGCTCCCAAGGCGGAATAGGAGGTGCTGCTCCTCCAGTTTCCGGGTGGCATCATTGTGACACTGGAGGCATGTCATCCAGGGAGTGGGAGGGGGAGTTGAGGTAATTCACTACTGGAAGGTGTTGTCATTTCTCGCAAACAGCACGCAAGTGCTCTACAAAGCTGTCTCTGCGCCTCCGCTTGGTCTCACCAATGTAGAGGAGGCCACATCGGGAGCAGCGGATGCAATAAACCACATTAGCAGATGTGCAGGTGAACATCTGTCTGATGTGGAAGGTTTTTTTGGGGCCTTGGATGGGCCCACCACTGACATCACTCCGCCCACCACCCCCACAGCCACCAGCTCTACAGCCAACCCCAGCCCCAAACCCTGCCGGGTCTTCACCATCCCCGAAGACCTCCTCCTCACTGAGGATGAACGGTCAGTCCTCAGTAAAGGACTCACCTTCATTCCCCTCCACCCACACATCAATGAATACCGCTCATGCTTGGATGTCGAACAGTTTTTCCGGCGCCTACGCCTCCGTGCCTATTTCTTTAACCGCGAGTCTAACCCACCCTCTACAGACCCCTTCTCCTGGACACCACCCCAAGGCCTCCTACCCTCCCTCAACCTCTACATTTCCAACTGCTGTTGCGACATCGATCGCCTCTCACTCACACTAACCTCTCCCCCACAGAATGTGCAGCCCGCCGCTCCGACCCTAACCTCACTATCAAACTCGCAAATAAGGGAGGCGCAGTTGTGGTATGGCATACTGACATTTACATTGCCGAGGCCAGGTGCCAACTCTCGGACACCTCCTCCTACCGCCCTCTCGATCATAACCCCACCCTTGCCCACCAAAACATCATCTCTCAGACCACCATAACCTCATCACCTCAGGTGACCTCCCGCCCACAGCCTCCAACCTCATCAATTCCCAAAACCCGCACCGTCCATTTCTATCTCCTTCCCAAAATCCACAAACCCGACTGCCCCGGTCGACCCATTGTCTCTGCTGCTCCTGCCCCACTGAATTTATCTCCGCTTACCTTGACTATTTTCTCCCCCTCCGTAACACCCCCACCCCGCCCCGGTCCAGGAACTCCCCAACCACATCCGGGACACCACTCACGCCCTCCACCTCCTCCAAGACTTCCAATTCCCTGGTCCCCAACATCTCATCTTCACTATGGACGTCCAATCCCTGTACAGTTGCATTGCCCATGCAGGTGGCCTAAAAGCCCTCGGCTTCTTCCTCTTCCGCAGGTCCAACCAGTCCCCCTCCACCGATACCCTTAACAACTTCTCCTTCAACTCGTCCCACTTCCTACAGACTAAGGGGGTGGCTATGGGAACCCGCATGGGCCCAAGCTATGCCTGCTTCTTCGTAGGATACGTGGAACAGTCCCTCTTCCACACTGGCCCCATCCCCCACCTCTTCCCTCTGCTACATTGGCGACAGTATCGGCGGCGCCTCGTGCTCCCACAAGGAGTTTGAACAGTTCATCATCTTTCCTAACACCTTTCACCCCAACCTCAAGTTCATCTGAACCATCTCTGATACTTCTCTCTCCTTCCTAGACCTCTCTGTCTCCACCTCTGGTGACCACCTCGAAACTGGTATCTATTTCAAGCCCACCGACACCCACAGCTACCTAGACTACACCTCCTCTCACCCACCTTCCTGCAAGAATGCGATCCCCTGCTCCGAATTCCTCCGCCGCATCTGCTCCCAAGTCCTCGTATTTCAAGGAGTGCAACTTATCCCCACTTCAGTGGTCGAAAACGCTCTCGACCGCACCGCTTACGTTTCCCCCACCTCTACTCTCACACCCCCTCCCCGTAACAAAAACAAAGACAGAATTCCCCCTTGTCCTCACGTATCACCCCATTAACCTCCGGATTCAACGTATCATTCTCCGCCACTTCCGCCACCTGCAATCTGACCCCACTACCAAGGATATATATTCCCTCCTCACCCCTATCTACTTTCCGTAGGGACTGCTCTCTCCGTGACTCCCTCATCCGCTCCACATTCCCCACTAGCCCCACCACCTTTCCCTACAACCGCACGAAGTGCTACATCTGCCCCTACACCTTCCCCCTCACCTCCATCTAATGCCCTAAAAAAACCTTCCACATCAGACAGATATTCACATGCACATCTGCTAATGTGGTCTATTGCATCCGCTGCTCCCGATATGGCCTCCTCTACATCGGTGAGACCAAGCAGAGGTTCAGAGACTGCTTTGTAGTGCACCTGCGCTCAATTTGCAACAAACGACAACACCTTCCAGTCGCCAACCACCTCGAATCCACTCCCAGTCCCCCCCGCCCAACCTCCCCGACTCCCTGAGTGACATTGCCGTCCTGGGCCTCCTCCAGTGCACAATGACGCCACCCAGAAACGGGAGGAGCAGCACCTCATATTCCGCCTTGGGAGCCCACAACCCAATGGTCTCAATGTGGACTTTACTAGTTTCAAAATCTCCCCACCCCCGGCTTCATCCCATGACCAACCCTCTCTCTCATCCCCACCTCCTTGACCTGTCTGTCTTCTCTCCCATCTCACTGACCAATCCCCATCACTGCCTGCCTGCACTAAGCTATCACCATCCCACCTATCTTCCCCAGCCCCATCCCCCTCTCTATTTATTTGAGCTCCCTTCCCCCTCCCCCATTTCTGAAGAAGGGTCCCGACCCGAAACGTCAGCTTTCCTGCTCCTCTGATGCTTCCTGGCCTGCTGTGTTCCTCCAGCTTCACACTGTATAGACTAGTGCCCAACTTGTGACAAATCGTTGCATTCTTGGCCACAGCATCAATATGATGTTAAAGGGAAGGTCTCTCACTTGATGGTTCAACTGGTTGAGGCATTAAGGCCAGGTTGATGCTGGGAGAGCCACCTGCGAAGCAAGCCCATCTCAGCCAGTGAGACAGTACGGATGTTATAATTTATCTTTTCATTCCTGACTGGCAGAGAAATTCACTATCTAGTGACTGCCTACTCAAAAACTTTTGCAAGGACAGCAGTTGGACTTGGCCCCCTTGCTTCTCCAAAGATGATTGCTAACACTCAGTCTCAGTTCACATACAAAAAAAAAATCTATTTGGAGAAAATGCTTGAAAATACGCATGTCCTAGCAAGGAGTCAGTGCTTTCAGGTGAAGTTAGGGAAAATGTTGGCAGAAAAAGGTACAGCACATGCACAATATGACAAAGTGCACACATAGGATGCAAATCAAAGTCAAAAACATCAGTGTTTGATTGAGCTATGACGAGTATAATCAGTGTAGTTTCATTAAGTACCCATATACAGTCAAATACAAAGTCCAGGTCATAATGCTGATGCACAGTCCACATTAAGTAATCAATATACAAAATTCAGCACTTGGCATGAACTCGAACTATAGTCTAAAAAATCTAAATGTACCTTAAACCTGGGTACCTGGGTGGAAATGAATTTTACATAGTTGGGGTTCAAGTATTTCTACTTTATGTCCTCCACAGTTTTACTGAACATGGTCAAAGATTAGAACAAATTTCAATTGAAGCACAGGGCAGAAATCAAGAGATCAAGATTCCAGTAATTTTAACCTGGCTTAGAGTCAATCGGAGGCTGCTCATTGATACACCTGTGTAGGACAGTACTCAGGATAAGAGAAAAACTACGCCCAAGCAGATAATAAAAATCTAATAATAATAAAAAAAACAGGGTTTCCTTACTGTTGTGCTGTCAAAGTAAATCAAGAAGGCCTCCACTGAGTCAGCAATCTCCTTTGTCAGGATGAATTTATTGGGAACCACACAGAGATGAACAGTAGCAGTATAATATTTGTTATCAATCGTCCATGGGTAGGATCGGACTGCGTTCCTGGGATCAGACAATTCAGGAAGGTCATCTCTTCCAATAATGTCTAAAGACGGGAGAGCAATAAACATAAGTTAATTAAAAAGAGAACAGAAAAGTGGGAGCTGACATTAAATTGATGCTGCACTGTTTGTACAAAGTGCATTTTCACAGACTTGAAGATCGCAACTTTGATTACTAATTCCTTGTCCAGTTGGCTGACATCAGTTGAGACACTGTAATGGATATGAGACCTCCTAATTCTGCAGGACATAGGAAAATAGAGGAGAAGAACCAAGGGTCTGTAAACCAGTTTCTAATTTATGAACCCTAATGGAAGAGATGATGTAGTTTTGGATAGATTAGTACCAAGACTCAGAACGAAGGCACGTATAAAGAATGGTCATTTAGAGATAGAGAATTTAACAGGGTGTCAGATCCTGGATTATCAACAGAACAGGAGCAGAGACATTTATTTGAGAAGAGAAACGAGTGTCCTTTTTACCAGACCAGAAAGTAAACTCCATGACTCCCTTGTCCGCTCCACACTCCCCTCCAGCTCCACCACACCCGGCACTTTTCCCTGCAACCGCAGGAAGTGCTACACCTGCCCCCATACCTCCTCCCTCACCCCCATCCCAGGCCCCAAGAAGACTTTCCACATCAAGCAGATGTTCACCTGCACATCTGCCAATGTGGTATACTGCATCCGCTGTACCCGGTGTGGCTTCCTCTACATCGGGGAAACCAAGCGGAGGCTCGGGGACCGCTTTGCAGAACACCTACGCTCGGTTCGCAATAAACAACTGCACCTCCCAGTTGCGAACCAGTTGAACTCCCCCTCCCATTCCTCAGACGACATGTCCATCCTGGGCCTCCTGCAGTGCCACAACGATGCCACCCGAAGGTTGCAGGAACAGCAACTCATATTCTGCTTGGAAACCCTGCAGCCCAATGGTATCAATGTGGATTTCACAAGCTGCAAAATCTCCCCTCCCCCTACCGCATCCCAAAACCAGTCCAGCTCGTCCCCGCCTCCCTAACCTGTTCTTCCTCCCACCTATCTCCTCCTCCCACCTCAAGCCGCACCTCCATCTCCTACCGACTAACCTCATCCCACCCCCTTGACCTGTCCGTCCTCCCTAACTCCCCACTTACACTCACCTTTACTGGCTCTATCCCCGCCTCTTTGACCTGTCTGTTTCCTCTCCACCTATCCTCTCCTCTATCCATCTTCTATCCGCCTCCCACTCTCTCCCTATTTATTTCAGAACCCCCTTCCCCTCCCTCTTTTCTGATGAAGGGTCTAGGCCCAAAACGTCAGCCTTTCTGCTCCTATGATGCTGCTTGGCCTGCTGTGTTCATCCAGCCCTGCACCTTGTTGTCTCAGTAAACTAATGAAATTTTGCAACCCACAATGGGTTAGGAGTTCCAAAAATAAGGATAATGATAATTCCTTTCCTGTTTGACCCAAAAATTTGTGTCAATTTTCCTTTGTAACTGTCAAAAATTAAAAGTCTTGTGTGTAGCACATTCCAGGGTGATAATTCAACTATAACGTTAGAATTTCTTAGCCAGCGCCAATGTTACCCAATGCAGAAAATAACTAGCGTGTTGGATTTACATCAAAGGATGTAACACTGTACTACATTACAGTTGCAAAGAATATTTAAACTTCAAGTTTGTGGACTTTATTTTAACGGTAAATGGTAAACAAAGATAATTTTGAATGTAATTGCTGAGACTAAAGGATAAGGATGGTGATGCACACTAAAGCAAATTATCACAATTCAGATCCCACAGCAAGACCTGCTTGATAGACCATATTCTTTTTTCTTCTTTTGTTTACTGTAGACGTCAGTGACTGAACCAAAATCACAAAATGTACTTTCAACAAAAAGAACATTAAAGTTGACTATACGGAAGGGATTACACTATATAAGAATTACTGGAATGAAATCATTACAAATATCAGAAGGAAAGATTCATCCCTTCTAACCCAACATTAACCGCCTTAGAGATAGTCAAACCTCAATGAAGAGCCATTCCTATTTGGCATTATAGTTCTTTGTTCAACTGGCATGGCTGTAATTGGTTTTCTTTTCAACAAAGTTCTGTTCATTCAGTCAATGCAATTTCCTTTAATTAATGTCTATTCCAGAAATTTTGAAACAAGCAACTGAAGCAGCTCACTATTACCACTGGACATGACTCCTTAAACGCACATCTTCAACAATCTTGTAGGATGTCTTCTATGACACCTCCACAATGCTCCGATTCTGAAGTTTTCTCCTAATCAAGTCAGGACTCCTCCCTGTATGTCCTGACTGTTTTGGAATCTGAACAACCAATATCACCCTCTGCTGTTAGGCATCTTCTCCGAATAAACCTATGTTTGACCCATTTTCTTTCTTTCTCTGGGTTGTAAACCTGGGTCAGCAAACATCTTAGCAATTATCTCCCTGGGGGAAGCTTGCTAGTCATTTTTTTTTAAAAAAATCACATGATTTCTTCAAAATATTGTTTTTAGGTCACAGTTCAAAATTTGGAAGAATTTTTAAAGCAAAAGATAAAACCATGACAGAAGAGAAAACCAAGAATCAATTTTTCCTTCAACTTAGAACTTCAATTTCCAAACACTAATGATGAGCTTTCATCACAACAAACATGTGCCAGAGGCATTTAAACCTTCAAGAAAAACAGAACTCTCCAACAATGAAGGAGCTCAACCCTTCAATTCTTATTTAAATAACTGCAAATTTCAAATTCCATTCCAAATACTAAGTTTATATTGTATTCTCACTACCTGCATAAGCAGCATAAATACACCACTCTATGTCCACAGTCCTTTGTTGAGAAAATTTAGTGGATGTATCTCTGAACATACTTTTCACCATGCAAAGATGCTCCTTTAAATTCAGTACAACAAGGTGCAGGGCTGGATGAACACAGCAGGCCATGCAGCATCAAAGGAGCAGGAAGGCTGACGTTTCGGGCCGAGACCCTTCATCAGAAAAGGGGGAGGGGAAGGGGGTTCTGAAATAAATAGGGAGAGAGTGGGAGGCGGATAGAAGATGGATAGAGGAGAGGATAGGTGGAGAGGAAACAAACCGGTCGAAGAGGCGGGGATGGAGCCAGTAAAAGGTGAGTGTAAGTGGGGAGTTAGGGAGGGGATAGGTCAATCCAATTTCAGTGTTGGGCAGAAGTGTAATCGTTGGTGTTAACAAAGCAGTAACCTTCATTTACAAGTTGACAAAAGGTTGGCAGGATTTCAATTTTCACACCACCTCAATCTCAATGATCATCCATGATCATATTGAATGGCATTGCAAGGTCTGAGTGATTGAATGGCCTACTCCTGTTCCTCGCTTCTTTGTCTATGCTTCATTGTAACATAACATTAATCAACCACATGCCCTCCTACTACTTTCACTATAGAAGTGATTCTGCCACCCAGAATTGTCTCTGAGGCAAAAAATTCAAATAAAGCAAAACCACAGCAGTCTTCTGTTCCTCCTCGTCTTGGTTTATACTATGAACTGCTTCCAAAGGGATCATTCCTGCTGTATAATCCATCTTATCTGCCAAATCTACACTGCCCACAATACGGAATAGACTTGAGAACAAGGAATGACTGCAAACCTAAAATCATGCTTGGCAGTGTGTCCAGGCTCTTTCTGATATTAAAGGATAAATTACACACATTAGTAATGGTACAAATGCATTACTGACCTGTATGCGCAAATTGTGAGATCAGTTCCTTCCTAGACATCCCCAAAGCGGAAGAAGCTGACCCAAGCATTTGCAGCTGCTAAATATTCTGTACACAGTGGTCAGCAATATTTCCCCAAGGACAGACTGTGCCATTGCAGTTACAGTTCAACAGAATGTCCACACTGTGGCCTGTGGGCATGTTGAGCCCTGCTCATGTAGCCACAAAGTCCAGGGAACTCCATTCTATTTTTAGTTCTGGTTGAAGTTTGCATTGCTGCAAGCTTGGATAGGATTGTCCTTAGCATTGTTGCTTCAGTACTTAGATGAAAAATGCTTGATGTGTTAATATCTGCAGTCTAATATACAAACAAATTAATGGTAATATTGATTTCAATTTTATATGCACCCATGAAAGTCCATAGTTGGAAGCAAAGAACTTGGAAGAAACTCGTATATACAGGAGGCAGTGAGAATAATGTCTGGGGATCCAGGTTCGGATCCTGCCACAGCAGACTGTGGATTTGAATTCAATATAAAATATCTGGAATTAAGAATCTACTGATGACCACGAAACCATTGTTGATCGTCAGAAAAGCCCACCTCGTTCACTAATGTTCTTCAGGGAAGAAAATCTGCGCAAATCTTCAGCTAGAAGTGCCAAATGGATGATCCATTTTGGCCTCCTCCAAATGGTCCCTAGCATTACAGAAACCAGTCTTCAGACAAAAATTGAAAGAACTGCGGAAGCTATTAATCAGGAACAAAAACAGAAGTTGCTGGAAATGCTCAGCAGGTCTGGCAGCATCAGCGAAGAAAAGTCAGACTTAATGTTTCGGGTTCAGTGACCCTTCCTCAGAACGGAGGACCCGAAACGTTAAGTTTGACTTTTCTTCACAGATGCTTCCAGACCTGCTGAGCTTTCCCAGCAACTTCTGTTTTTGTTCCAGTCTTCAGCCAATTCGATTCACTTCGTGATATCAAGAAATCGTTGGAGGCAGGGGATGCTGCAAAGGCAGTGGGCCCCAACAACATTCCAGCAACAGTACTGAAGCTTGTGCTCCAGAGCTTGCCGCTACCCCAGCCAAGCTCTTCCAGTGGTTACAACACCTGCGGAAAATTGCCCAGGTATTTCTTGTCCACAAAAAGCAGGACAAATCCAACCCAGGCTATTATTACCCCATCATTCTATTCTCGTCACTAAAGTGATGGAAAGTGTCAGCAATAGCAATAATTTGCTCAATGACACAGAGTTTGGGTTCTGCCAGGGCACTCAGCTCCTGACCTCATTTCGGCCTTGGTTCAAACACGGGTAAACGTGCTGAATTCCAGAGGTAAGGTGAGAGTAACATCCCTTGACATCAAGGCTGCATTTGGCCGAGTATGGCATCAAGGAGCCCTGGCAAAACTGGAATCAATGGCTATGAGGGGGCAAACACTCCTCTGGTTGGAGTCATACCTGGTACATAGGAAGATAGTTGTGGTTGTTGGACACCAATTATCTTCTGCAGGAGTTCCTCAAGATAGTGCTGAGTCCCAACCACCTTCAACTGTTTCATCAATGTCTTTCCCTCCATCATGAGGGCAGAAGTACGGATGTTCACCAATGATTGCACAACATTCAGCACCATTCACGATTCCTCAGATACTGAAGAAGTCCATGTCAAAATGCAACAAAACCTCGACAATATCTACACCTGGGCTGAAAAGTGGCAAGTAATATTCATACCATACAAATGGCAGACGATAATCATCTCCAATAAGAGATAATCTAACCATTGTCCCTTGACTTTCAATGGTGTTGCTATCACTGAATCACCTACTATCAACATTCTTGGAGTTACCCACTGACCAAAAACTCTATTGGACTTGCCACAAACAGTGGCTACCAGGGCAGATCAGTGTCTAGGAATACTGCAGCAAATAACTCACATCCTGACTTCCCAAAGCCTGTCCATTATCTACAAGGCACAAGTCAGGAGTATGATGGAATACTCCCCACTTGCCTGGATGGGTGCATCTCCAATAACACTCAACAAGCTTGACACCAGCCAGGATAAAGCAGCCCACTTGATTGACACCGCTTCCAGAAGCATCCAATCCCTCCACCATAGATGCTCAGTAGCAGCAGTGTTTACTATTTACCAGACACATTGCAGAAATTTAAAGATCCTCGGACAGTCCCTTCCAAACCAACAACTGCTTCCATCTAGAAGGACAAAGCCAGCAGACATATGGCTGCACCACATACAAGTTTCCCTCCAAGTCACTCACTATCCTGACTTGGAAATATAATCACCGTTCCTTCAGTGTTGCTGGGTTAAAATCCTGGAATTCCCTCCCTAAAGGCATTGAGTCAACTTACAGCATGTGGACTGCAGCGGTTTAAGGTAGCAGCTCACCACCACCTTCTCAAGGGCAACTAGGGTTGGGCAATAAATGTTCGCCCAACCAGTGACCTCTACGTCCTACGAATGAATAAACTTAATTGAAACAGAAAACACTTGCTAAATTAAGCTAGAAGATATTTAAAAATGAGAAGTAATATCATTTCTTATTCATGGACACAGCAGCATAGGAGCTTCAAACTGGGGAGTCTCTACTGGGAAAGTCATGAGTAAAATGCATTACAGAATAGCTTTTAATTTTGCTCGGGGGTATTTTAATTTAATCATTAGCAACATGTAAATACAAGAGACTACGTATGTATGCTCTAGTACAATTAGAAGGAGAAGGCCCTTTCCAGCAGCAAAATTTAAACCAGACAGATGGTGACAGATGGTGAAAGAGGCAAACAATGTCATAGAGAATAGCAATGCAAAAGGGAGTCCTGACATGACAGTGGCAGCCTCTTCGTTATCCTCAAACTGCGAAAATAAAAAAATCTGCAGCAACCAAAATAACACAAAGAAATAACACAAAATGACCACTGATTGCTTAAAGAAACAATTTTAAAACAACTTGAGAATGCCTTATGAGGTTTTCAACCAAAGATGTCAGATGGGTCACTCAGTAGAATGATGAAGCTTGAGTAGTTCAGGTCACAGATTTTCTTCCTGTGGGTAGGTGAAGTGTTCTTTCGTAAAGTAAGACTGGTTTAATAATGAATATTATACCATTATTTAAAATTTTAATTAATACAGAATCCTTCAAATAGAAAAAGTCTAAAAACCATTCTTTCGGGTTGCCATATGGAAAAAGATATGAATTCCTCATAGTAGTCTGCAGAGTTACACAGACCAACAAAGAACATACACACACACACACACTTAAAAAAAAATCTGAAAATTAAAAATTCCTTTGTGGTTTGTTAATGAGGAAACAAAATGACTGCATAAGCACTTGTGGAAAGTGTTTGCATACAATTCAGGCCCCACATATAAAGAAAGGAAACATCTGCCACAAGTTGAATGAAAAGCTCTTTCTGGAGTTCTGTGGCTATACTGCTGATGCTATTCTTCATGCTGCTGCATGATTATATGCGATTTTGGGCATTTCTCCGAATCTACAAGTACACACATATTAGGCATGTTTTACAAAAAGCAGTTCCCATTAGAAAGTAGGAGATACAT